ATGGTCCTTTCATGAAAAGTATGCCAGGCATAAATAAATAAGGAAGGTTAATGTAATTACTGGTGGATTCAGCCAGTTACTCTTGTGTGAAACGTTTCTGGGCGCTTGATGGGAATATTGATGCCGTCGTGCACTTTACGAGGAGTAAGGCATTCGGATTCCAAAGGTTGCCGAGTGCAGCAATTCAGAATGGCAGGAAGCGTTTCAGAGAACCGTAGAATTACACAGCACAGAAGGAGACCATTCGGCCCATCGTGCCCGTGCCGGCTCTTGAAAGACCTGTCCAAATTAATCCCACTGCCCCACTCTCTCCCCGTAGCCTTGCAAATTTGTCCTCCCCATATATCTATCCACTTCTCTCTTGAAACTTGTTATCGAATCTACTTCCACCCTTTCAGTCAGTGCACTCCAGATCCGAACAATTTACTGTGTGAAAAAAATGTTTTGATGCTTTATGACCCCTCAAAGGGTTTTCTCAACTTCTTGAACCGTGCACCTCCAGTTTTTTGTACAATATCTACAAACCCAATCTGCTGCAAATAATTTTGGACCGAAGAAAATCAGAGGAATGTGCAATAACTGAAGAACATTTGCCAGCATCGTCAGCACAAAGAAATTGTTTTGATCTTGTGCTGTTTTCAATTTTTTTTCACGGAGAAACGGTGCTACAGTTCTTAAAGCACTTCACCTACTGTTAACCCTATTTGAAGTCGCAAACAGTCAACAGGAGATGGATTTCTACACAAAAACAGACGGGTCCCACCAAACTATTCTCAATTTAGTTGATTTCTGAAATATTTGCAAATTTCAAGGATTGCTTGTGGTCACAGCAAAAACTCAAAATATGGGGGCATTAAGTGTCTCTGATCAATTTCAACAAGGTGCTAAAAGAAATGGCTTGTAGACATCACAAGGAAAGGCTCAGTTGACTAGCGGACTGCTTTCCACGAGTAATAATTGCTTCAAAATGACAATAATAATTTGGTCACTCGATCCACGACTGTTTGTGGGACACTGCTGTGCACAATTGGCTGCCGCATTTCATTCACAAAATATAGAGTTAATTCACTTAACAGCATATTCTGTAACCGTAAATGATGTGAAAAGGCGTTATTTCAAATACAAGGTTGTAATTATTATTATTATTATTCAAATTCTAGACTCAGAAACTCCTTCAGTGACTCCCAGCAAATCCCAATCCATTGCCTGAAGTGAGATATCATGAACAGAGTGTAATTGATGGCCAAGTCTTTACAAATAGAGGGAATTGCACTTATTTTCTAATAGATTTATATTCAAGAAGTGTGAAGCTAAATAGTTTTTTGCTTTCTTCTGTATAGTTTCAGGTATTCAGAGCCAACGCACTTTCACTCAGCTGCCCACAAGTGACATCTCAATCCACACAGGGCCACATAAATAATGTAGCAGAAAACATATCCCTGTACCATTCAAGCACTTCAAAGGACAACCAACCACAAGTTGTAAATCGGACCAGCGAGGATGTGTAATGCCGCATCTGGAAGTGCCATTCGTATCTCTTCATTGAATCTTCTGTTGGAATAGTCTGGGCAGATCTTTTAATAGTAATAATAATCCTTGCATTTCATATAGGGCCTTATCACGTCTTTGAGACGTCTTAAAGCACTTCACAGAATATACTGTAAAGTGAATTGACTATATTTTGTTGGTGAAATGTGGCAGCCAATTGCACGCAGAAGAATCCCACAAACAGTCATAGATTCAGTGACCAAATTATTATTATTATTTTTTTTTGAAGGGATTATTTTGAAGTGAATGAGGTGCACTAATACCCAATACTCCAGCCCTGAACCAAATGTTCATCTGATTCCATTTCATGTGAAATGTTGTTAAAGTCTCAGCCTCATTTGCCAATTCCGGCAAAGCATTCCATATTCTGACTATACCTGTGCCAAAATGGCTTACAAACCTCCACTTTAACTCACCTCGCAACCATGAGTTTCTGCTTCATTTAACAAACAGCAGGAATCATCTCTCGTTACTTATCCTCTCCCTTTTCCAATTTTGGAGACCTCTACAACAACAACAACAACTTGCATTTATACAGGGTCCTTCATGCGGGGTAGCGGAGTCTGACACTAAGCCAGGGGGAGATGGAGGGATTATTTATTATTATTTATTTATGGATTGGGAATTCCTACTTCAATTTGTATCCAGAATAAACTGACATGTATGCCCTGACTTCCTTTCCCACAAGTCTCTCTTACATTGCTTCTCCTAACATGTTTTTAATGCACAGTTGGTCATTAAATAACAATTCAGCATTTGAAATGTTGCCATCAAACTTCGGTCAGTTTGTCCAAACACTCCCTCTCAAGGGCTCAATTCCACCCTAAAAATCACACGCATATACAGAGCAAACAGTAATATACATATTATTATTATTATTGGACAATGTCATTCCTAAGGCACTTGTTACCTTACCAATACACACATGCATTTAAAATACTGCACTGCACCTACATTTGCAAACTACTTTTCAATCTGTAGTTCGTAAAACTCCACATCAATTGGTACAACATTCTACGTACAGCTGCAGTGAATATCCATAACATTGTTCAGTTATACCCAAATAACTCTTGGCTTGAGTTGGAGATTTAAGCAGTACTCTTATTATGAGTACGGTACTACTTAAATGTCCAACTCCGTCCTTGCAGTTCATTTGAAGAGTGCTTAACAACAACAACAAGATTACATTTGTATAGCGCCTTTCCTGTCAGGAGCAGCCAAACAAAAGATTGACTTCAATAAGACAGGTGGAGAAAGATGGATTGATGCATAAAATGCAACTAGAAACAGAGAAGCCAGAAATGACTAATAATAATCCTTGCATTTGATCAATCGCATTTTACATTCGGAAAACATCTCAAAAGCTTCACAGGATTTACTGTAAAATGGAGTGAGTTTTAGATATAGAATTCTATGAGCAGCAAAACAAATCTTTTGTTTGGCTGCTCACATACCTTTTGTTTGGCTGCTTAAGCGCTCTCCAAATGGACTGCAAGGATAGAGTTGGGCATTTAAGTAGCACTGTACTCATAATACACTACTGCTTAAATCTCCAACTCAACCTAAGAGCTATTTGGATATTTTGTAGGCAAACTACAACAACAACAACTTGCATTATATATAGCGGCCTTCACACCGGACAGCGTCTCAGAGCGCTTAACGATGGCAGAGCTACAGAAGTCATTGCATCTGAGTAGTTTCAATTCTGCTGTGAAACAATTGGAACCAGCACTTGGAAATGTGTTATTGCTCTCTAAACACAGTTGTAGATTATTCCAAAGATACTTAGAGCGAATACTTACAAAGAGGGAGCGTGACCAGTGAGTGTGTTCACTGGTGAAAATTTAGCAGCAACAGGAAAGAGACCCATCAATCAAGTGAAGCTTTCGTTTACTGCTTTTTGGTGGAATACTGGCTGGTGGAATACACGTTGAGCAGAGCAGTTTGTTTCAGTTCAGCAAATGTTCTTTGCGCGTTGAAACAACCTTCAGCCGATGCTCATTTCTTGTGTTGTGTTGATACGAAAGTGTAATAACTAGATCATTGTCACATCGAATTCTACATCTAAAATTTTACAGCAATGTAATAGAAACATGAAGAACGAATCAATAAATGAACAAAGGAGTGAATGAACGAACGAGAGAATGAATGAAAAATATGATATGTGAAGCGAAAATTATCACCGATAATAGTTATCACGATCACATTGTTTTACCCCAATAGCAAAGCAATGTATTTATATACAGCAGGGATTATTCTATATAATTTGAGGCAGCAAAAGAAAAGACAGTCACCAAATAAAGATTTGCAAAGCTATAAAATTTACCCACCTCTATATTTAGTTCGTGGCGAAGCATAAAGCATATTTTGGGTGATAATGAGTGAAAAGGAACATGTATTTTCAATCTCACCACATCAATGATTGCTAGGGGTGAGATTGAGGCTGAATACTGGAGTGGTCAAGAGTATTAACATGGATGGAGGTGTTTACTGAGCTCGTTGCTGTATTAGACACTGTATTGCATTCACTAATCTAGAAGTCAATATCGGTAAATGTTTAAAAATTACTGTCTGTGCCTTGAACTGTAAAACAAAATGTTTTTCACAGATAAACTCAGAATGACAGCCCCACAAGCAGCAGATAGAATCTTTGTGCAGAGACACGCAGAGGACATTAAAAGGCTAAATTCAACATGTGGGCGAAAAACACACTGGGGGAGGAATGGGCTTACATTCACAGCATTCCTATTGACTCCACAGCCATTTGATGTACCAGCCTATATTTTCGTTATTTATTTAATCTTCAGCATTTGCCTCTTAACACAATGGCCTTTCCTCACTAGCTCATCATTTTACATAATAACAATAATAATATTTGCATTTCAAGTAGATAGCGTCTGATATCATATTGTCAAAACGTCTCAAAGGGCTTTACAGGATCCGTTGTAATGTGAGTGACTGAGTATTTGTAGATGAACGCAGGCGAGAATTTGCATAGTGATGTGCCACAAACAGCTGTGAATTTTATCAGTTGACCGCCTCCTCTCTTGAGTTTGTATTGGGTAGGATTGGCGAGTGAATAATAAAAGTAATAATTCATGCATTCGAGATAAAGCCCGTAACATCCATAACGTCTCTAAGTGCAAAGTCTCTAATGAAGTGTAGTGACTGTGTTCTTGTCGGCAAAATTGCTGCATTAACATTACCGCACTATTTGTGCCAAAGGCAGTCGAATCATGATTCAATCCTGTTCTACTAGGGAAAAGTTCAGGCAGGTGGTGTGATTGAAACCCACAAGATACATGCAGCCACGACAGAGCCTGCACCACTGACCTGTCTCTGTGTATCTCCGTCCTTTGTTCTCTCTTGTGTTGTATCCTCATTTACTCTGAAACTCTATTGTTGGCGGTTTATGTTGCCTTTCCTTACTTATTTTTGTATGTTCCTCACAGCATGCGATTGCCATCCGGTGGGTGCAGCTGGCAAAACCTGTAACCAAACAACAGGTCAATGTCCCTGTAAAGATGGTGTGACCGGCATCACGTGCAACAGATGCGCTAAAGGTTACCAGCAAAGCCGATCTCCCATTGCCCCCTGCATAAGTACGTGGACTACTCTTTTTGTCCCTATCAGTAGAAGTAGTTTTTTGTCGTATGGTCTGAGTGACATAGAATTACTGAGAATGTTACTGCATGGAAACGGGCCATTTGGCCCAATGGGTCCGTGCCAGTGTTCATACTCCACACCAGCTTCCATCCCACCTAATGCCCTCTGCTCCCTTCTCCCTCATGTTTCATGCATCAAGTTTCCTCTTAAATACGTTGATGCATTCCGTTTCCAAAAGGGAGTTCCATGTCCTCACCGTTTTCTGTGAAGAAGTTAGCACAACCCTTCCAATTCGCTGGGCACCCCATTTCCCTCCCAACTGAGATATAAGTATTTTAATAATAATAATTATTTTCTATAAGTATTTTCTATTAAACACAGCTTTAAGATGTTCCTGATGCATTTTGAATGAATTTTAATCAACACTAATTTGTTTTGGACCCTAACATATTGAATCCATATCAGTTTTCCGCCTACCTCCAGAAAATGATTCGATAGAAATCGACTAGCATTTACTTCTGTCCTGGTCATGCATAAATTAGAATCGATCAAAATTGATTTGAATGGATTAATGCACAAAGCGCCTGATAACTGGCAACCACAATGTGGATCTGTTTCTTTAAGACTTGATACTTTACTCTCTCACCTTTATAAACAGCGTGTGTTTTTTTGGATGAATGACTTATATTTCTTTGTTTGTCCTAATGTGCTGTGTGCCTCTCACAGAGGCAGCATCTGATCTCTTTATCACTGTGGACATTTTATGTGGCACTGTCTCTGGTACTTTTACCCTGTCTACTAGTGTAGAAATGCTTAAAACTCTTAAGACAAACAAAAGAAAGCAGCATATAATTCGCTCATTTGAGATGAAAGTGTTCCTTCGTGCTTGGCCGACCTTAGTCTGTTCAGCCAGAAAGGTGGAGAGTTGAAAGAATCAAGTCTTCCTGGAGACGCTATCCCAACACATGTTGTTATTCGATTGGAAACTCCTTTGCAATAGAGGATCCTTAAAACAAGCGATTCTTACAAATGAACATTTCAGATTAAACACCATCTCTCACCCACTCCGATACATTCTTTGAAAGTTGTCATTTAGAAAATGAGCTCTTCTTAACAAGGGCACTGATGTGTTTTGTTGGTCTGTGCAGTATGTATTTAATGCTTCATTGCAGTTGCTTGCCCTTTTTCCCACAGAAATCCCAATGGTCACACCTGCCACTGCCATCAGCAGTACAGAGGAACATGCCGGTAAGAACTAAGTTAACTTTCTTATACATAGTCGTTCCCAGCTGGACGAATATTAGTTGTCATGCCTTTCTGTTTGAAACAGTACAACCATCTATCACATTTAGAGCCTTTATTGGCCTATATTAGCTTTTTATTTGCTGAACATGGATGTTTTGGTTTTGTACGAGAGGTATTAAAAAGTTTAATGGTGCTTAACAATTGTTTAGTGTCACTGGTTATGAATATTACAAAATAACAAGAACGGTCTCAAACAATGCAAAGTCACTGGGCACACAATCACCTTGTCTCCGGAATTATTTTTAGTGCTTTTAGTTTAACAACAACAACTTGCATTTATACGGTGCCCCTCATGCAGGGTCGCGTCCCAGAGCGCTTAAAGTTTAATTTTAACATGATGATAAAAAAAAGGAGGGATTCAGGATGAATCGGTGACTGCAGAAGTGCAACTGAAGAACTAAATTATTTCATGTTTCAAATTCGTCTTGACTGAATGAAAGACAAAAGAGAATTTATTGTAACTAACTGGCTACACAACACAAACTATGTTATAGTTTAATCCACTTTCAGTTGCTGGATAACTGAAGCTATTAGTGTGGGAGTTTTTTTTTATATAGCCCTGCTATTTTTTTTTCTGCGTAATACATACAAAGCGCTATCTTCGTCAGAGATTTCATGTTCCATTTTAGACAGTTCTTTAACAGCTCGGGAACTGAATGTCCTTGCAATGTGCAATGTTCACCTTGCTTAATCCTCCCCAACATGTTCACGGGATCTGCTAAATAATACATAGGGGCTAAAACGCTTTAAAGCATCCCAGGTCAGGAGTCAGGACCTCTTAATACGGAGGTCCGTGACTACATCTTTCTACCCTAGTGGAGGCTGACAGTTCCATCTACTTGATGATCTGCCAAATGTATTTTGGATTTCCAGCTGGGTTTCCCAACAGGGTCTTCCATCATGCTCGAAAAAAGATGACATTTGATCTTTCCGTGGGGAATACCACCAAGGATGGAAAAAATAGATGCTGTTTTCAGCCAATGGACATTTTTCTCTAAATACCCCTTCACAGAAAAGCTCAAGGATTGAAAGTTAGCTGGGAGATCACAGCAGAGCACATAAGGAGCTGTGAAATGGACATGCCACAGGATAAACAGCTGGGCACGACTGGTTCATCAATGATGCTGAAAGCGATCAGGGACAGGGACCTACAGTTATGTTCTCCCTTTCCAAAATCGCACTGGCCAGGATGCCCTCCAGGGTTTGGAATCTGCTAAGTAAACCATGGATCTTTCCCCTGACATCGGTACCAAATATTGGTTAGGTTTAAATGCTCATGTAGTGCCAGCCATTTGCCCTGCTCTCTCTACGAATCATCTGTTAAATAGTAACACATGCATTCGATATGGCGCCTTAATATTTTGAAACATCTGAAAGTGCTTCAGAGTCTAAGAGTTGTTTTTGCAGGCACACATGGAAGCTAATCTGCACCAGTTACGTCTCAAGAACAGCACAAATGATGAACAGCCAACGCGAGGAGGTAGCTCTCCGCATTCTCGTGTGCTTAATGCATCGACTGTGACAACCCGGACAGTGAGAGGGATTCCCTGTTCTAACCTTATGTTGTCAAAGAGCATTAAACGTACCGACATGCAGAACATCACCTCACTTCAAACTGAACGTTAAGAAATGAACAGTGTAAAAATCCTCATAATCCACAATCGCCACTCTTGTTCTATGACCTGCCTCTCAACACAGTTTGGAGGTTCTTCTACTGGAACACTATCGTAATCTATCGTAAAAAATATACGTGCTAAAACTCTGCAGAGAGAAGCAGGGGTGAACATACTGGATTTGATTGCATTGTCTCCATTGCAGAAGCGATGGCAAATGTCACGGGACATTTGCTCTAATTTTATTACCTACAGTTAATAGAAAATTCGAACTATCCATGAATTATGTCAGGTTTAACCTTGATGGTGTCCCCGTGTTTATAGCTTTCATTTGAGCACAGAGTCGTTTTCAAAGGGCTGTGCGTGAAGCAGTTTCGCTCTGCCTCTCATACCCTATGAAAGACGGCTGTATTTATTATGGAATTAGTGGATGAATTCATACATTATGAAACAGCTAATCTCAGTGAAAACATTGAGTGATTCTCACGATCCCTTCCCATAATATCCAGAGGCTAATGCTACCCTCCGTGGACTTTGGAAACAGAAAACGTCAGGAAGAGAGGTTGACAATTCAAAGAACTTATTTAGAAAAGAGTAGTTTTATTGATATTATTAACAGGCACTTCTCTCCTCCACCCCTTTAGCCTGCTCTAAATCACCACTTATCCCTCAATGTATCCTTGTTCCGAGGGTGTCATGGACCAAAAGGAGAAGGGCGGAATGCCTTTTTTTTCTCCAAACCTACACTGGGATTCCGTGCACTGGAGCACATGAGATGGACAAAGTGGGTTGGAACATTAGTCAGGGTTCAATGTGGAAATAAATCTGCTGCCGAGAGAGAGAGAGAGAATATTTGAATTATGATGCATCCTCGTTGTGCCTCAACTTTCAACTATGTGCAAAATGATCGTACCATGGCACGGACGCCCTGTGGTCTGGTCTAGCGAGCGCTGATTTTAATGTTAGTGACGGGAATGTGAGGGACTCCCAACACGGATTAAATTTGGTCACTTCAATCCACGACTGTTTGTGGGGACGCTGCTGTGCGCAATCGGCTGCCGCGTTTCGCCCACAAAACGTACAGTCAATACACTTTACAGTCTATCCTGCGAAGTGCTTTGAGACGTCTCAAAGATATGATAAGGCGCTATCTCAAATGCAAGGATTATTATTATTATTATATGCCTCCAGTGTTCAACAACCCACCAACGCTCACTGCCGAGGCTCACACATGAAGAAATGACTATTTGTCTTCAGCGTCCGTGCAGCTGTGCCACAGCGTGAGTCAGTGTCTACAGGAGAGGAGGAGGGGGAGACGGGAGGCAAACCAAACACATGTACAAGTGGAGAATAGGCGCTTCTCACACGGACAGTATTTGAAACAATCCAGGAGATTAGGGAAGCAACACGCTTACACGTGGGAATATACTGTCAGTATTACAATCTTCAGGGGCAATCAATGTCAGCCCTGAGGCAGCCCACTGTCTATGTGAAAAAACGAGGCTTCCTGTCGTCTCCTCTCCTCTCCAGGAAAGGGATGAGATCCTTTTCCTTTCTGCCAGGGTACATACGGTTCCTCACAGGTTCCTCACGGTTGTTGTTTATACGTCAGCTCGGATTGTGAGGTCTGACAAGCAGTTCAACTCTGTGTGTGTGTGTGGGGAGAGGGGGCGGGGGGGGTGGGGGGGGTGGCGGACGGACCGAACCTTGTCCTGCCTTCATTCAACATTATAATTATTATCAACTCCACATGCCCCCCTGCAGTTGATAATAATTATAATCCTTGCATTTGATAGTGTCTTATCATGTATTCGAGACGTCTAAAGCGCTTCACAGGATATACTGTAAAGTGAATTGACTGCATATTTTGGGTTACTATCAGGAATGGATGGTTTTCCTTTGTGTTATCCCTTAACTGAGATCAGCTAACAACACAGACCATCTTCCCAGCTCGGCAACTCACCGCACTGGCTCGCTGAGACAGTGGGGAGGGGGAGGCTGAATTTATATTCTGTTGGCTTCGTAAGCTGTTTGATGAGTTGCAGAATGAACCGCTTTGGAGAATTAAAGAGCTCCTTTTCATTTCCGTTTGACAGTGCAGTGCAGTACGGCACTGAGCTCTATATCACTTTCCAGAATTATTCACCCAAAAGTTAAGCATCCCTGAGCGTTCCTGATGTGCAGGTGGTCCGTAACATCTCACACAAGGTTCAACCTTACCCAACCTTCAGATGCTGTGGGACCTAAAGCTGTGTTGCTACTAGATTTTAACTGAAGCTGCTGTAAGCCTATGCAATCCTTCCCCCTCAGTGACCCTTCATTGCTTCGCTCCATAGACTGCACTCCTATATGGTCCTTCGAAGGCAAAAACATTCACAAGAGACTGCGGTTCACTCAGTGAAAGAACTAACGTGAAGGTTTTCAAAACATTTAGAGGATAAAAAGATGATTTTCTTTTTCAGAAAATGTCCAGACAGACGAAACCATTTTTTGTTTCCTTTTCCCTATTATTGCAAGGCCGATTTTATTTTTGCTTTGCGAAATGAAATTTCACTCCTGACGTTGAGTTGAGTTTCTAAATGTGAAATTAAAGGTACCTTAACAATAAAAAGCTTCCTTTTCCTTAACAATCTCAACAATTGCGCTTCACCAAGAAATAAAAAAACAGCAGCCGGTCAGGACATAGCAGTCTGAGGTCAGGCAGGGTCAGTTTCAGTGTCAGATGCACAAGTTAGCTTGTCCTTCAACACTGAAATGTTGTGTGGTCCATGACACAGTGTCAGCAGATGGGGAGTGTGTGTGTGTGTGTGTGTGGGGGGGGGGTTTGTTGAGATACTCAACTCATAACGTCATAGCACAACTCTTCCTCCTCTCTCCCTTGTGTATTGTTCTTTTATGTATGAATGTTAAACTCCATTCAATTCGAGCAATTTTCAAAGGAAGTCACAAATGTTTATTCAATGCTATTTTAACAAATGTTGAACGGACTGATTCTCCATTCCTCTGCCTTGGCATAAAAACCGAAGCTGAAGGCTGATTCTTGCACTCAGCCTCCATAGAATCATAGAATCATAGGCTAGAATCCTACAGCACAGAAGGAGGCCATTCGGCCCATCGTCCCCATGCCAGCTCTTTGAAAGAGCTACCCCGCTCTTTATGCAATTTTTTTATTTTCAAGTGTATATCTAATTCCCTTTTGCAAGTTATTGTTGAATCTGTTTCCACCACCCTTTCAGGCAGTGCATTCCAGATCGTAACCTTCAACTAGGTTCTTTGGTGGCACTATTGCTCCGACCCTTACATTAAACCGTGGGATATTCACTCTAACTGTGCACGTGCCAGAAAAGAGATTTAATTCCCACAGATAAGGAGTCAGTGCCAGTCTTTGTTAATGGACGTTTTGATGAAGAAATCTGAAAGGGATTTCCTTCCAATAACCAGAAGTACATCAGAGCAACTTGAGGGAATCTTGCTTCCAAAATAGATCGAACTGCATTTTGATTTTGTGTCATATATGTGCAGATTTCTTAATATTCACCCCAAAGGGGGTGGCATTTCTTTGCATCGGTGAAGCTGTGTTAGAAAAAGGCCCGGTGTCATTTAAGGAAGATTGCTTTGAAACCGTGCTCAAATTCCTTTAGGAGCTAATCCGCTCCACGTACTGAACTGTGTGACCTCGACACTCGGTGGTTTTACAATCACACGCATGGCAACAAGGCTCGCAGTATTACCAATGCGAAAGGCCACCACCATAACTTCCTGAGGTCGTCATGTTCACAACATTGCGGTATCTGATGGGCAGATATGACTTTCACTGTCCTCCCCACTTTCCCCACCCCCCCCACCATGCCCCTCCTCCGTCTTACGCAGAACGTTCCAGAAGCCATCTTCCCACTGGCCACAAAGAGCAGAGGGACTAGGAATTGCAGGAATTGAGCCCTCTCCACTCAAATGCCAACCGTTTGGTTTCAGTCCTCGTAACTTGGGCGAGGGCTTTAATCTAATTACATGCTTTATTTGCAGCAATTTGTTTTTCAATCAATCTTGTTCAACAAGAAGAAAACCCTGCTACTGGGCACTCATTTGCGGCCCATTGTCCTGAGATAGAGATTTCTGCCTAAGCTCCAGGCCTCCAGCTCTGCAGCTGCTAAATGAAAGTTTCAGATGGAGAGCAAGGAAGGAACCAGGGAAACCTTAGTGTTTTTTTGTTAAAAAAAAACCTTCTAATTGTAAACACAGAGGAGTTAGCACAGACTGTTCACTTCCATTTGGATTGGACTTTTAGCTTGTGCCCAGGGCTGGTTCTGAATTGCTTTGCAATGTTTCTGCATTTTCCTTTTTTTTCATCTGTTGCTCTGGCAACCTCTTTCACTGGACACATAAAAGGAAATAAAAGGCTTGGCGAGCTAGGAACGAAACAATGAAGTTTGTTCATATTCTAGCCAGTATAACGCTCCGAAATAAAAAAAACTCATAACAATGTGTTGGTTGATGCTCTAGTTTTTCAATGAAAAAAGGTATTTTTCTTCGTGCTTCTTTCCTAACACTTCATTACAAAGTCCAATTTCAATTTACTAGCACCTCCCCTATTTGTATTATAAATAACTTATGAGTTGATGATAAGTACGATATTATAATACGGTTAAAACTGAGACTATTTTCCCATTGCTCTTATAATAAGAATCCTTCCATTTGATAAAGTGCCTTATCACATTATTGAGATATCTCAAAGCGCTGCACTAGATACACTATAAAGTATATATTTTTAAAATTATTTTTACTTATTATATGCAAATATCGGCCCATTAATTTATGATCAGTTTTTTTTCCCTAATATTTGCTCACCCCCGCCTCCCCATGAATATTTCCTACTTTTAAAATGAGCCCATGGATGCAGATTGCTGGATGGCTGAATTTCAAACCGGTGGCTGAAATTCACCTGGCCCGATGTCTTAAGTGTTCGTTTATATCAAGTGAAAGCCAAAGACAGCTGCGTGAATATGTGTGCATAGTGGCACCCAATGTGCATTGGGTGATGGCCATGCATGTGAAAATGCACATGTCTGTGTGTGTGTGTGCGCGTACTTATTTGCGTGTGTGTGGGTATATATATCCACTCGCTCTTTCGCTGACTCTGCAGCGGGAAATGAATTGAAAATAGTTCACTGTGAGAAAGTTGCATGGGATGAAAATATTATAGAGTTACAGAGAGACAATGCCATTTTTATTTTACTGTGGATTTCAATAAAGATTATCGAAGGAATCATGGGGAAAGGAGTTGGGTGTGGGGGTGGGGATCGGATTTCTGTAACTTTAAGAAAGTTGAATGCTCCAGACCCAATAGGCTTTATTTGGATGCAATCTCTGATGTGTACGTTAAATGTTCAATATATCAAATGTGTCTTATATTGCAGTCAAGTGAAGAAAAGATAGACAACAACAACAAAGCAGGCAGGAGCAACAGGCTCAATGTAAATTAAAAGTGCTTTGCGGAACATTTATTTGTTCACCTATCTGGAGAGGACACCAAAGACGTCTCTAATGCTCCATGGGTTCCTCATTTCCTGCCTGACCTTCTGTTGTTCGGGGTGACCTGTAGCCAGCGTCTCCATGCACTGAAAGCAAAGTTTGACACAAGCCTGGGTTGAGGTGACAATGAGGTATCCATGGGCCTTAATCAGGGGCCAGAGCCACTTTGACAAGAGGGGAATCTGTGTGATTCTCCTTCTCAAACCAGACTTGGGTGGTGAACCGGGGGGAGGCCGGTAGAACTCAAATAAGGCAAAGACTGCCTGCAGACAGCAAACTGTTTACCAGACAGAGTTCTTTGTGTGACTTTTTCTATAGAAATTAAGGCGTTATGAATGCTCTGTAAGACCCATTAGACAACACAATTGGCAGCAGCAGATGGATTCCGTAAGGCCTCAGTTATTGTAAGCAATGCTGGTTTTATCATTTCTCTCTCTTTTTTATTCTTGGTCTGATATGTGTATTTTTTTTTTACTTCTCTTTCCCCGCAACAGACTGCGATTCGTACTGCAAGGCTTCCAAAGGAAAACTGAAAATAAACATGAAAAAGTACTGCAAGAAAGATTACGGTGAGTGTGTCGTTTAGTATCGTCATTAAAAATCATACCTCTCCTTTCGTGATGAAGTCAAGTCACTCCCCGCAGCTACTCGGGACAGACGAGGGGATTTATTTTTATTGCCTTTGTACTCCGTTGCCCGTGTCGCAGTCAGGGAAATTAAGTTGCTGAAAATGATTTAATTATTTCAGTTATGGATGTGTTAAATTCTACCCACACCTTAACAATGGTGTTGGGTGCGCTCGTGGCAATGTGGAAATGAGAAGAATTCCCAAGGGAAGGATGCAAATGTCAGTGTTTTCTTTTAACTAAAAAGGTTGGCATAAGCTATCCACTTCTGAGTATGTATTTTAAGTGTATAATTTGATGTATTTACAAATGCAAATTGTATCATACGAATAGCTTCACGCCAAAATTGGGCTCACAAATTTGGGGGGGTGGGCAATTTTGGCATGCTGGTACATGCTAGGTATCAAACATATATAATGATAACATTTCGATCACCCTGCTTGCCCAACCCCCTGCCCTCCACCCTCCTCGAGCCCGACCCCCAGCTCGGGTCCAAAACACTGACTGTTCCAGCACCTTGGGACGTCCTCCCGACGCGAATGTACAAATGTAATTTTGTTGTTGTTGAATGCAGTCCTGATGATTTTAAACGTAGAAATGTTCAGTACAGAAGGAGACCATTTGGTCCAATTACCTTTCTTCAGACCTGTTGTTTCCTTGAGAATGCACAGTTTTGCCACTTATTGTATACTCTCCACACTGCCACATGCTGCCTGGTGATTGTCTAGCCAATGTAACAAGCAATATTATGCATTGATATTCCAATATACCGCAGTACTGGTTAAAGAGAAGTGGTTTTGCAATGCACTGAGCTTTCCCATGTTGTACCTTAGAAATAATTATCCTTACAATTGATCCAGCGACTTTCATCCTGAGTGGATGTCTCAAAGCACTTCACAGGATATAATGTAAAGTGCAGTGACTGTATTTTGTAGGTGAACACAACAACCAATTTTGCAAACAGTCAATGTGCCACAGACACCCATGAAGCAAATGACCAGTTTTATTTGGGGGATTGAGGACACCAGACGAAACTCCCTTCTCTTTTCAAATAACCATTGCATCTTTAACATCCACCTGAGCAGGCAGACGGGACCTCAGTTTAACGTCTCAACTTAAGGATTGCATCCAGCAATGCAGCACACTCCACCATTGCATTGGAGCGTCAGCCTAACCCTAAGACTACATGATGTAGAGCTTGAACCCACAGCCTTCTTATTCAGAGGCGAGAATGCTACCAACTGAGCCAGACTGACACACAAACTCCCCCCTGATACCCACACTGTCAATCAGCTGCCCCGGTACAGCACAGATAGCCTTTTGTCACCTGGAACCCAAGCTTACACACTGTTTCCAAGTCGCTAACCATTAATTTGCTGTTCTTGCCACAGATCATAATACATTCTGGGGGGGAAGATTTATACAGACCAGCAATGCAGACAGAGCGAGAGAGTGAGTGAATCAGTGAGCGAGAGGCAGAACTCAGAGAGTGAGAGCCAAAAATGATACCAACTGGCAAAGCCGGAAGCAGTGGGAAAATATATAGATGTATATATGTCTCTCTCTCTCTCTCTCTCTCTCTCTCTCTCGTTGCATTTCTAGCTTGTACAAGCTTTCCACAGAATGTATTGTGATCTGTGGCCAGACATTCAGCCTACTTCAAAAGTGAATTAGATAGCTATTTGGCGAAGAAATCAGCTGAGCTGCATGAGAGTATTTTCCAACTTTAAAGCTGATTAGATGGACCACAACAATCTGTTCCAGTCTTCTACATTCCTTTGCTCTAACCGATCAGGTGAAGGCATACCTCGGAACGCAATAACTAGAGGTACTTCCTCTACACTAGCAGTAACCAGCATTATAAAAGGGGCACAGACTTTGAAGTGTGTCATTAAGGATACCTTAAGGATATACCACAGACAGGTAGGTTAAGAGGAGTGCCCTTTGCTTGCCTCTCATCGCTACTTGCTGTTCTCTGCCAAGCTGCCGAGTGGGGTGACCCATGGCGGAAGGAAGGCTGATAGCCGTGTCCGACACCATTCCAAATTCTGCATGCTACCTCCCAGTCCATCCAGCTCAACAGGGCACGCAAGCCAAAGGATTTGCAGCCATCTCCAGTCACGCTGTTATCTGAAGGAAGCAGCACAGGAAAGATGGAACCTGGTTAGAAATGGTAACTAACCAAGAGGAATAACCGACAACTCTCGTGGACTTTGCTGATCTTCTATTTCTGAGAACTATTTGACTGAGTTAAGTTTTCAGGACTCGCGGCGTCCTATAAATCTTTAAAGACACGTAACAGAAACATGCAACCTCTTTATCGTACACCACATTCCTTCATTTTGTCATCTCTCATTTAAATTTCCTCTGATAAGAAGGCAGGATTCTCTCGCGGGTTTGTGTTGCGCTGACAGATAAGCAGAGAATTAGCTGCTGTTATCAGTCACAGTTCACACGGGTGAGATAAAATTCATACAGTTAGTTCCACTTTACAAGATGATCAAGCTTCATAAAATGTAATCAACACATGCGGGATTGATGATGGACAGGCAGGGATGGTCACTATTGTATTAAGCAATTTTTTTCGGTTTCTTCTGCTCGTCCAGACATAAGGCATCATAGTCTAGGAACGCTTCACAGGATTTACTGTAAAGTGCAATGACTGTGTCTTTGTAGACGAACACGGCAGCCAATTTGCAAAGTCCCACAATCAGCCATAAAGTGAATTACAAATTTTAACCGGAGGATTGTTGATAAAGACATTGTCAGAAACTCCCTTCTCTTTTCGATTAGTGACATGGGATCTGCAATGTTCACCCGAACAAGTAAATAGCGCCTGTGTTTTAACGTCTCATCTAAAGGACGGCACCTTGCCATCTGTAAAAACAATTTAAAGAAGGACACTGGAACGATACACACACAGGGTGATTTCGATGCATATAAGCTGATGCACTGTGCTATGGATAAGTGCGTTTTTGGTGACAAAAGTAAAACAAGTAAAATAGTGTCAGATTAGTTTAATAGTTTGGATCCCACTTTGACCTATTGGACCTTAACACAGTACAAAATCCAACGCTTGGGTTACTCAGTGCAAAGAAATCCCAAATATTAGTGTGGCATCTACGAAACTAAACAAATGGACACTCTATTTAAATCTTTATTAGTGGCTAGTGCTGTGGTTCCAAAAAACCTGTTATTGCTCACAGTGCTGTGGACCCTGTACGCATGTAAACAATTCAGTGCGCTCAAGGAGAATGACCAATTGGTTTTATACTCTTTAACCGGCAATAATAAGGGAGCAGGTGGTGTCCATTAACTGATTATTAATGCATGCCAGTAGGCGTCTGTGGATGGGGCCAGTTTGGTACAGAACCCTGTTCCGCTCAGGATGGCTGTAAAAGGGTGTCATGCAATCCCACAAAAGGACCTCTGACTGCAGCCAGCAAACACCCACCCCGCCAGCATTCTTTCACTACTTCTACACCCACTGCACTGGCTCGAACTCCTCTGGAAAAGTTCATGCTCGGTCATCAACTCGAGGTTGCTTTTTTCTCTCTCTAAGTCACGTCTGTTGCGCCCAGGTGTGCAAACTAACGCTCCCCTAACGTTTAGGAACTCGTTGTTTAAGGGCTGTCAGAGGAGAGAAGGTTAAAGTCATTTTGAAGCGCTCATCCCATCACTAATTCGAATCACATTGGAGAGAGCAGCCAGGAGAAGCCGAGAGAGAGGCTGAAGGGTTATCCGGAAAATTGTGGGTGCCACAGGCTGACATTCCCAGGACAAAGCCAGCCCTGTTGGTACCACGCTGACCCCACTAAGGTCCCAAAGGAGGTTTCTGCATCAAAATCAAAAAAAAGTTTTTTTTTGGGGGGTGGGGAGGCTAAAATTTGTTTTAAAGCTGTATTTTGGAACAAAAACAAATTTCAATCATGGAATTCAATTCCTCTTCCTATTTCTATTTTAGAAAAAGTTCCCTTCAGAACATTGACAAGAGACAAGAAAAAAAAGATTTAGAAATTTACACAATTTTCTGCTCATTCTAAAGGCAGAAAAGTCCTGGAAGAGGTGTCGGTGGTGAGGGTGGGGGGAGAAATAGGGTAACGCAATTCTATTCCATATGTTCAATGTGGCTGAGGATTATATAAGGGCTGTTCTGCTTCCTTCATTAAGTGAACACATTTGCCACTGCCTGCGTGGAAATAATTAACTCAATTTTAAATTGCAACAAGTTAAAGAGGTAAAAATTAAAATTATATATATATATAAAACGGTGCATCACCATTATTTATGAATGACTGAGTGCACTTTTGCTTAACTCAGTCACCAGAGAAGAATAACTCTTAACACATGTCAGCAAATTCTAAATGGGAAGAGAATAAGCTCCGTTGAGTCCTCAGAGGGCTGGTGGAGCCGGAAACAAACTGGGGATCCGATTTGTTTGTGAGTGAAATTTCCAAATTTGATTTTGTAAAAAAATATGATTAGTTTCAACGCAAACTTAAAATAAAATGCACATTTTAAAAGAAAAAATCATTGTGCTTTTTAAGATTGTTTCTCTTTGGCAGCTGAGTTCTAATAATAATAATAATCCTTGCATTTGATATAGCGCTTTTCACGTTGGGAGGACGTCCCAAAGCGCTTCACAGAACACACTGTAAAGTGAATTGACTGTATATTTGTGGGCAAACGCGGCAGCCAATTGCGCACAGCAATGTCCCACAAACAGTTGTAGATTGAAAATGACCGATTTATTATTGTTTTGTTTTGGAGGGATTATTATTAATCTATTAATTCTAATGCTTTAAGCTGAAATCAATAACAACTTACACATCGAAACTTTCCAGAGCGCTTCACAGTGATTATTAGTGGAAGCTGGTTAGCCACCATCATTTTTTGTAAGCAAATGTGACAGCCATTTTCCAGGCAGCACCAGCCCACAAACA